GTTTCTTCCCAATTTGAGTCTACGTTATGCGGAGGTTCTATCTGCAGGTTTTTTAAATGTTTCCAAGACATTAATAACGTATAATAAGTTAAAGTATCACCAACAAGATGAATTTGCCAAAAAAAAACTCTCAACTATGTACTATATTCGAGTCTATTATAGGTTTTAACATTGGTAAAATATAACCGGATCTTTTATCCAACCATTTATGATATTTGCCAGTCTAACTCTTGTGTAAATATAAGCAATTTTAATTAATAACTTAAAACAGGTTAATATACAGTATATAAAATTTTGCATTACTTTAATAGTCTTACGTTTTAGGCCTTAGAAATTGATTAGTACCCCCCGGGGACCAGCAATTTTGCTATTGGACTTTTTACGCAAATTACTTTATATTAATCACATGTATTCTCTTATAAAAGATTCAAAATCGAAATATTATGCACATGTAAAGGGTGTACATCTAGCGCTATGTTTCAAGCTTGGAACCAAGCTACAATAATGTGCAAATTAGAGGAGATGCACTTAGATATCACTATATAAAAAAGTCCAAAAATTAAAATTACGATGATGTCAGTTCAGAGTGAGTATTGAATATAATATTTCCGGATCCGAAGATGAAAATGCATTACAAATACATTCCAAAAGGTAAGTTATTTTAAAGGGGTGTATGAACCAGCACTTGTTTTACTAAAATAACTTGTATTACATGCATTTTTAAAAATCATCTGTCAAATATAAACGGTATAAAATTATCCAATAAAATTTCAAGTCGTTTAATGAACTGACCGGGATCAACAGTCAATTCACACTAAGCGCTAATAATTAATCACTTCACGAAATTTTTAAAAACCTAAATGGTTTTTCCTATGCAGGCTGAAAAGGACAAACCTATAGAGAACTTACCAAACCATCATCAAGAACAGTCCGACGAATATGAAAACATAATTCTTAATACCGGTTGCTATCAAGAAAACCAAGAATTGCAATTATGTTTTACGAATAAGCGTGACTGGAGATTGTGCAAAGTGGAATTAGAGAAATTTAAAGAATGCTGGAAAAAAAACAAAAAGAAACAGTTCGATGAATCTGATGGGCGGCAATAAATACAAAAATATTGTTTATTTGACAGGAAACATGAATTCTCGAAATAATTTATCAATTAAGTTTATTTTCGAAAAGTCGTAAAGAATCTACTCAAATCAATAGAATAATGGCTCTTTAAATTTCGCGAATAATACTTTTTAACAGCGATTGATAATAAATTTGACCAGAAAATAACGAATTATACATTGACATTAACCACAACGAGATAGTTAAGCATAGTGGTCTCTGCAAGTTTTTTTTTTTTTCTTGCTATATACGAAATATAAGAAATGCAGAAATGGAAATCCGAAAATCCGGGTTTCCGGATATTTGGAATAATCAAGTATCACGTTCGTAATTTACATTTAAAAAGGTACGTACGTACGTACGTACTTTATTTACTTTATTGTAGTTTTAAAGTCAGTCCATTATAAAATATCATAAACTATTTTCTCAGCAATGCCACGAGCACGACACCGTAGAAAGAAATCAAAACAACAAATTCAACGTCCCAACCATAAATTGCCACCTGAACTTATCTCTGAAATTTTCGAATACCTTTGGGGTGGTATTCTTGACGAACCAGCTTATGAATACGAAATACCAAATGCAATAGACGATCATTTTTCGCAAGAAAGGTCGGACCTCTTCAGAGTGTCAATGGTATGCTCAGTTTGGCGACAAATAGCTATACCTAGAATCTGGCAGAAAGTAAAATTTCAACTCGATTTCGAGAGGGACTGGGAGTCTTTGTTCCAGTGGCTTATGGAAGGGGGTTACGGCAAATACGTCAGGCAAATTCATGTCGAATATGATTACGACCCTAAACAAAATGAAACTGCTCTTTCATTAGACGAAAAATTTAAGGGCATTGTTGAATTTACTGAAACTGTTCCTAGCATGCATACTTTCGCTGTGAGATTTAATTCTGCTACTGCTGATCATATCTCGGAAGACCTTCCGCCAGTTATGGATAGTTTTTTTCATGAAATATCGGCCTCATGTAAATCTGTTCGACGTGTCAAAATTCATACATCGGGGTTGCGTGGGCCAAATAAAGATGACACCTTAAATCTTCCATCAGTTAGTAATATCATATCAATGGTAACTAATACCGTGCGAGAAGTTGATTTAATGATGCATGTTGCAACTCGAGAAACAATTGAAGCTCTTTGTAATTGCAAAGGTGTTGATCGCGCGTTGGTCCATTGTTGCAGCTGGGGTGATACTCCTAGCGATTATTATACATTATTAATGTCTTGGAAACATTTAAAAAACCTGCAGATAGAACCTCCGCATAACGTAGACTCAAATTGGGAAGAAAC